GTTGCACCTTCTGTGGTTACATGGGAAGGGCTTTCTCCTATGATTTGGGTCAGGCATTATACCTTGGATTCCTCCTTCAGTCTTAGCTAGTTTCTCATTATTGTGGGCCTGTTTTTTCTGTGAGCAGATGGAGGAATACTGTCAACTTTCACACAAAAACAAGCCCTGCTCCTGGACAGGTAATTATTCTTTGGTCCCTGATGGAAGCTCACTAATGCCTCAACCCTACTGCCACTCTGGAGGAATGTGGTAGACATAAGCAATCACAGATGATTACCTGTCACCAAGATGTTGCAATGCATTTGAAAGTTACTCTTCTATCATCCATTTCCCATTTAGTGCATGGTGCTATATTGCCCCATGCAAGTGCCAGTGGGGAGAGTGATATGAAGAACTCAGTCGAATGGAGTGAAGAAGGCTATTGAACAGTTGGCAGGACTGCTTCTAAGTTTGGACTGGTGACCACTGTGACCTCTGACCTCTTCTGCAACCTCAAACTTGCTTGGTTAGCTCTCTTCTTTCCATTCCTTGAGAAGAAGATCTCTGCCTTTTTGTAATAGTATGGAGGAGGATCTACAAGGAGGCATGACTAACAATGGCTGGCTCCATAGGTCTTCCCTTCGTTGTGGTGACAGCAGCTTCTCTGTCCACTTTGAATATGATGCAAATTAGAGCTTTTAAGACAGAGATTGATAGATTTTTGTTAGGCAAGGAAAACTGGATTTGTGAGGTACAGCAGGAGGATGTATGCAACATTTAGAAATAGTAAAAAGAGGATTAGCATGCTTGAAGTGAGTGTGTCAGACAGTTCTAGAGGATGGAATCATTCTATATCATGTAGAGAGAAAACAGAAAAACAGGATTAAAGTGTGTGTAGATATGCAAGAAGGATGGTGAATAAGGCTGGTGAATTGTAAGCACACAAATAACCATGTGGAAATATGATATTGTCCCGGTAACAGAAACGTGGTCTAAAAGTGGTGCAACCTGGGTATTAATATACAAGGGTGTAAAATTTTCAGGAAATATAACAAAGACTAAAAGGGAGTTGAGGTGATAGTTTTAATTAAGGAGGATAATACAATGTTTAACAGAGGGGACATCCTTGAAGGGGCAAGGATAGAGGCCATTTGGGTTTCAGCTGAGACACATCAAGGGCATGATCACACTATTCTACAGGTCTCCAAATAATGAGCAAAGGAGAAATGGGTAAATCTGCAGGGAAATCACGGATGTATAACAGTCTTCAGTTGCCAGCTTAAGGGTTTCAATTAGCTGTGGGCAGAAAGGGCTTCCATGCACCTTCTCATCCAAGACTTAACCGGAGCAGAGACACAAGGATGGTGGTGTCCTCACCTGGCATCCTCTCTCCTGATTCAATGCCTCTCTGCCTCAGGGATATTATTAAAGCCTGCCCAATGACAATAATCTGAAGAGTGTGCAGAAACAGAAAGACCTTGGGTTGCATGTGGATTACACTTTGAAGTTATTGGGACTTATTTGATGGCTTAGCAAAGAATGCGAGATCTTGGATTTCATAACTAGAGTCCTTGAATACCAAAGCGGGGACGTTTTGTTTTGCATTTATAAAGCACTGGTTAAGCATCAACTGTGACATTCAGTTCTGACTTTAGAAAGGATTGGAGTATCCTTGAAAGGATGCAGGAGAGAGTTCTAGAATTCTTCCAAATTGAGGAATATTAGTTAGGTTTGCTTTGAATAGTCATTCACTTTGGAGCAAAGAAGCTGGAGGACAGATTTGATACAAGTGTCCAAGATGATGACCAATTTCCATAAGGTGGAGAAAGGAAAGCTATTCTTTCAAGCTGATATTATAAGGGCTGCAGATTTAGGGGCAAAAGATGCAGGCAAGATGTAAGGTGGAACCTTTTTACATGGCAAGTATTAATGACCTGGAACTCGTCACTCATGAGGGTGAAGGGTACAGAAATGATCAATAGTTTCAAAAAGAAATTAGATTAGCACTTGAATGAAACCAACTTGCAGGGCTATGAAGATCGAACACCATGAAGTAGGATTGAAGTTCTGGCATGGACTTAATGGGCCAAATGCCTTCTAAATTGTAACCCACTTTGACTCTAAATTGGGCAAGATCCAATTGATCAGTAGAAAAGATTTGAGGAGTTGAATGATCTACTTATATTCCTAATGAATTGTATGTCTTTACAAAATAAAAACCAAAAGAACTGCGGATGCTGTAAATCAGGAACAAAAACAAAGTTGCTGGAAAAGCTCAGCAGGTCTGGCAGCATCTGTGGAGGAGAAAACAGAATTAACGTTTCGGGTCCGGTGACCCTTCCTCAGAACTGATGGTGGCTGGGAAAAAGTCAGTTTATATGCAGAAAATAGGAAGGTGGGTGGGGTAGGGAGTAAACGATAGGATAGAGCCCAAAGTTTGTTGTTGTTGTTGCCTGTCTTTACAGACTGCTGGTGCTGCTGATGATACATCTGTGTTCACTTAACTATGTGCTTGAAATTCGTGAAATCCCATCACAGAATTTGAGAATTTCCAAAGCAAGCAGCAAAGAAACCTACTTCGGTAGTTTTGTCATTTGCCCAATTAAAGTTCATGTTTTTCCCCATAAGTACTTGCCTCATTTTCCTGGACATCTTTAAGAAAAGTTGGTGACCCCTAAACGTATAGAGATTTTTCTAGAGTTTGTGATTACATCCATACTACGAACTAGCTCAATGTACAGGTAAACTGTTTGCCCAAGTAAAATCAACCTGATTATTTCAGGATATCAGGTCCCAAGCCTTCAGGAGCAGGGAAATGTGGAAAGCTATTGTACCGCAGTTATGGATCTTTGCTGCTTCAGGTGCAATCAGTGGGTCAAACCAGTAAATAATCAAATATTCCTCAAAATATTGTAAACCTGCATGAATGATGCATTAACCTGACACAAAAACCAAAAGAACTGTGGATGCTGTAAATCAGTAACAAAAACAGAAGTTGTTGGAAAAGTTCAGCTGGTCTGGCAGCATCTGTGAAGAAAAAATCAGAGTTAATGTTTTGGGTCTGGTGAACCTTCCTCAGAACTCCCAGTAACCTGATGTACCTGCCACAGAGCGCCAACTCTAACCGTAAGAAATAGGAACAGGAGTAGGCCATTCAGCTCCTCGAGCCTGTTGTGCCATTTAATGGGATAATAGTTGATCCAATATTCCTCATTTCCACTTTAGCCTCAGCTAGATTATTGTGTCCACGTCTGGGTGCTGTGCTTTATGAAGGATGTGAAGACATTGTAGAGGATTCCAGGGATGTGGGATTTTGGTTATGAAAATATATTCGAGAAGTTAAGACAGTTTTACATTCTTCAAAAGAAACAAACAGGAGACCTGATAGAGGTATTCAAAATCTTGAGGGTCAGCACAGGGTAGATTGGGGAAACTTCCAACTTATGAAGGGATTGAGAACAAGGGCACAGATTTCAGATAATGGCAAAAGAAACAAAAGCAAGTTGAGGAAAGGATTTTTGTCAAAGCAAATAGTTAAGTTTGGTAGAGACAGATTCAATCAATGCATTCAAAAGGGAGTTAGATTGTTATTTGAATGCATTGGTGAACCTGCCTCTGCAAGATGTAGAGTTGCATGGAAAGGCTAGAGAATGGCACGACAAGAAGTGCTCATTTGAAGAGCTAGTGCAGACACCATGAAATGATTAGCCTCTGTAGTGTAATGATTTTATATTATGTGATTGTCTCCTGCACTTCCCACAACATAAATCCCAGGAAGAGGGACAGTTAATTGATGGTCAATTAGCAAACATGTATCCCCCTCACTTGGCAGAAAACAGGCATTGGAACATCTTCCTGAATGGCACTGTATGCAGTACAATGCACTAAAATATGTAAGCATTTTTCCATCACCTTTCCGAACTTGACCTGTTCACAGCACTAACCCCATCATAGCAAAGCTTCAGTGGCAGAATCATTTTTTAAAAATTACACTAAAATGTTCATGTGTTCATTTTGGGCTTATAATCAACTGCTTATTAAGGTCAGTACCTCTTTTAGGATACAGAAGAACAAATTGATGTGGGCCAAAGATGTTTTACAACCATTTTAGCTTTTTAATCAGTGTTGTGGTTTGAACTTAAGTCTTATGCATGTTAGTAGCCGTTCCTTCGGTTGCTTTGGTTTCTTCTTATCTTTTCCGTACAGAGTGATTTTGAGCGCTTTTTGTGTGAAATCTAGACAAAGCATTGAATGTGTTTGCTCAGAATTTCAATTATTCAGTTTAGTTTTGTTAAAACTATTACCTACCAATTATTTTATGCACAGTAAATTGATCTTAGTTGCCCATGTTTAATATTATATGCCTTATTCTGAGCCCTTCTGCAATTCAGAATGCCTGGTGTGAACCATCTGTCTACCTAAACGTAAATTGAATTTGATTGAGCCAACCTTGCAAAAAGTGAGTTTACATATGTATAACTCTCAGAATAAATGCAGTGTTCAACATATGTTTAATATTTTGGATTTTTAAAAACGTTTATTCTCTTGATGTATGGGTTATTTTTCAGTTGATTATGTACTTCATAAATTTCTATGTCATGATAGCAGTCCACAATTGGCAATAAACTTAGCAAGCAATTTTTTGATCTGGTTTGGTGCATTAGTAAACATCTAACTATTACTGCTACAAAATACACAGGAAAAGTGATACTAGGATTATAAATGAGTATTTCCGCCACATTTTAGCAAGGAACAATATAACTATTGCCCCATATGACTATTTAACAATGTTGTTTGTCTTATAAACAATCTTCAGAACTAATTTTGCTTTGGAGCTTGCTTCATTGCAAGACAGTGTGATTACAGTAACGTTATTCACTTCATTATATTGATTTTAATGGCCACGCTATGGAAGTCAGTTTAAAAGTAGATTTCAAAATTGCATTTTTAATTTAGCTGAACTTAGCTATAATATTGTAATGATGACGTTGTAATGTAATTCTATTTTGATTTTATTGTAGCTTCAGGAAATTTTTAGAAAGAAAAATGAGAAACGAGGGAGAAGAGGTGATGATGAGGAGAAGTCTGCACAGGTGGTGAGCACATGTATTTTCCTGTTTTTGATTCTGTGATCTGTGAGGAAGGTGGCCAGTTAAAAAGGATATCAACACCAGCTTAATCTTGATGGTATCACTTTTCGCAATGTTAATTACTATAACTTCAAAAACCATGCTGTTAGTGATAATTTGAGTTTTAGATACAAGTCATAGTTAACAGATCAAGGTTCCAGAATAAAGGGGGAAGTACTAATATTAGACCCATGGGTCCATTCTGTTCTGCCTGCCTGGGGTAACCTGAGAGTTTGCTTCTATGACTGATTGTATGTTCTAATTGCTTTGTCTTTTCTTTCCCTTTTCTTTTCTCAATTTCTGACTACAATCTGTAATTTGAAACTGCACCATATGGCATGTAAGAATCTGCAACTTTTTGGTTATCAATATGCTCCTCCTCACAGTGTATGTATTGTTCTTTAATTATGTCTAGAATATTAAATTTTGCAGGATGCATTACAGTAGCATCAAAATAGAATGTGTAACTTGATGAACAACATTCAGTAGTTCAAATGTATCTTTTAGTGTAAGTGTTTGAATTTTACTTTACAAGTTCCATTATTCTACTTTTAGAAAATAAGTTATGCAGAAACTCTAATCAACATGGTAAATTAAATTGTAATTAAAATATTATTCTGAACTGACATAGAATTGGTGAATTCTAATATTTCCTAATGTAACTTTCAAAAATGTTCTAACTCTTGTACACATTTTAAAATTATGGTTGGATCTAATAACAGCATAACACTGGTTAATAGTAAACTTCCAGCATGTACCATTGTGTATATTTTTATAAGATGAAAGTAAATGTTTATTATAAGACTATTTTGATTATATGTTGGGGATGGGATAATCTAGATCAAGTAAAGATGGGGAAATCCCATTGCCGGAGGTAAGTAATGTGAACCAGATATTTCATCTGCATTTTCATCATCTTGAGCAGGTGGGAAACATGATAAATGTAAGTTCAACCAAGAAACAAAATGATCATTATTTTATGTCTACACAGTATATGAAAGGGGTCTCCATGATCGTCAAACATCTCAGCTTATTAATCTTAATTACAATATGGGTACAAGGGATGCTCCACTGAGTCTAACTCCGCAAACAGACAAAATTTGCATCCAAACATTGTTGAGATAAGCCAACTATACCACCAATCCCTTCGGCTAATTTCTCCTTTTCCTTTGCAATGGATCATATCAGTGCAGAGCTATCATTGCCACAACTCCTCAGCTGGCCTTCTCCTTTGTCTAAATCTGTCTTCTCATCATCTGTGCTCTATTCCAGCTCCTAGCATCTCTATTCCTTCTCAGCCCAATTAAAAGCCGCTGTGTTCCACATCAGCCACAGGCCAATTTATTTCCCTTTGTGCTGTATAAACTGCAGAAACTTCAACTGGTGCATCAGTGATATGAAGACCAACAGCCAAAGAAGTAGTATATGATAGTCAATGGGAAGAAGATCCAAATTGCCACATGTGGCTAGGGTGTCACAAAACCCTGAGTACAAAGTCCAGGCAATTCTGTTCTTTTGCGCTTGTATTATTTTTAAAAAGCCGTGTTTTATTTTGTAATTTGAAAACATGTTCTTAGAGCTATTGCCTCTGTGATGAAAAATCCTCACTCGTAACTCTAGGACCTGCAGCTTAAGATGTATGTAAATTAATCAGAACAATAATTTATACTTCGTAGCCTGAAATAGCTTTGGTACATGTACAAGTGCTGCAAAGGCAAAATGCTTGAAGACCTTTGCCTACCATCCAGTGCCTCTTTGAGCTTTAGTCTTTACACACCCACACTGTTAAAGACATGTGGTGCTCCCTACTTCGATTAGGCACGGACCCTCTAATTTCTTTCTTGTACTATATAATAGCAGCTACTAGTTAGACCAGTACTTACCATTGCCATTTCTGCAGAGCCAGCAGAAAGTGTACCATGCTCACGCTGGTGAAATGGGGAATTTCTGTATCAAGCTTCTGTCAAAGGAAAACAAATGAATGAGAGACAGTCGGAAGAAAAGTGCACATCAGAAGAGTAAGCTATATTGAAAAAGGGAGGCTGAAAAATCATAGAACCCCGACAGTGCAGATAGAGACCATTTGACCCATCGGGTCTGCACCGAAAAGCATCCCACCCAGATCCGCCTCACCACCTTATTCCCATTTATCATGGCTAACCCACCTAGCCGGCACATCCCTGAACACTTCGGAGCAATTTACAATGGCTGATCTACCTAACCTCTACGTGTTTGAACTGCGGGAGCAAAATGGGGCATGTGGTGGAAACCCACACAGACCACCCAAGGCTGGAATTAAACCTGGATCCCTGGCATTGTGGAGAAGCTGTGCTAACCACTATGCTACTGTGCCACCCCCGGAATAAAATCCTAGAGTAAAAGACAGAAAACCACAAAGAGAAAGGCACAGGCAGGAGAGAAGAAGACTTTGCAGGTAGAGAGAAAAGTAGGAAGATTTCAAAACAGAGCAAGAATGATCAACCAGAAAATCAAAATTAAGGCAAAAAAATAGAAAGAATCAATGAATTCAATCATGAGAAAACCAGAGACACAAATTGGGAAGCAGAGGATTAATGTAAAGGGATATCTAGTTATTTTGATCACTTGACAATTATTTCGATTTAAAAATTATGCTGCACATAGTAATTTGTTACCACTTCTAATGTCTCATAATTTGTAATTGTGGTGATAGGTAGCAACTTGACATCCATTGTCAGTGATTTTATTCTTCAGAGGATGTGCTATTGAGTTCACTTCAGTCATTTGGAAATCATTGAGCTGACAACAACTTCCATGCGAATGGACTTCATAAAATTATACCTTGTTGCCTGCAGTGAATCTGGTAGTAGCTGGCTAGCTTGAACAGCCTTCTCCTTAGTGCCATTGAATGAGGAATTTTATATTTGTGGAATTTCAAATTTTTACATTGTGATATGAAATTCTGCAGTTCTTGTCTGTGAAAATGCTGTGACCCTACTTGATTTTGTCATTTTTGCTAAATATCTGGTTGTCATGAGAGGGGAAATTCAAGGTACAAAATGTACTAGATCATAGATTATAGGAAAGAAACAGAAAATACTGGAAATACTTAAGTCAAGATCTGTGGTAGGAGAAGCAGAGTTAATATTTCAGGACAATGATCTCTCAGTTTTGTTGAGATTTCAAATTTTGAGCATCCACAGTATTTTGGATTTCCAAATGTTTATGGGTAGTTTTCGTCAAGGTTACTGGCAAACACTGTTGCTTTGTCGCTTACGACAAGTTCATGTCTTTTAAGTTCAAAGCAATAAATATAATTTCAAGTGCATTTGTTATTATTTCATGTTTTCATGAAAATCACTGAAATGTTTCCTGTATGTCAGAATGATTTGGCATGAAGTTTACTGCTGGTGCAAGGGGTTTTGAAACCATTTTAAGCCTTCTTTCCATTTCTACACCTTTGTTTCATTTCTTCACCTTTGTTTCACCTCCTTAATCCTGTTAGGTATATTTGTGTTCTATACCCAATTGTGTATAGAATGCATTTGAAGGCAGTTAGTTAGTTTACGTACCTGTTAGTATGAGCTTAGATTCTTTTGTGAAGGCAGAAGGCTATGAACATAGGAAATGGGAACAGGAGCAAGTCACTTTGCTGCTTGGCCCCCAGAACTCTTCACTTCCTTGTAAATCAAAAATCTGTCAAACTTAGGTTAAATATATTCAATGACCCAGGAAACGCTAAAGATGAATGCCCATCTGAAGAAAAGAAATTTGTCCATTTCTCTGCCTTAAATAGGACCTTATTTTGAAACTGTGCCCTCTACTTGTAGCGTTCTCTCTGAGGGGAAATGTTGTGTGAGAGTCAGAAAAATTCCTAGCTTCAAAGCCCATCTCTGGAAATACTGGTTCCAGGGACGTAATTTTTATTGACTGGACAGATACTGGTTGAAGTCAGGCCAACCAACCCTGATAAAAGCTTGGATGCATAAGACATTGGAGCAGAATTAAACTATTCGGTCCATCGAGTATACACCATTAGATCGTGGCTGATGTGTTTCTAAGCACCATTCTCCTGCCATTTCTCCAAAACCATTAATCCTGGTAACAATCAAGAATCAGTCTATCTCTGTCTTAAATATCCTCTGACTTATTGCCACAGAGGACTGTGAAGGCAGTTCCACCGATTAACCAACCTCTGGCTGAAGAAATTCCTCCTCATCTCAGTTCTAAAGGGTCGTCCTCATGCTCTGAGGCTGCACCTTCAGGTCATTGTCACTCCTACTAATGAAAACATCCTCTCCACATTCAATCTATGCATGCCTATCCGTATTCTAAGTTTCAGTGAGGTGCCCCTTCATCCTTCTAAACTCCAAGTGCAGACTCGGAGTGCTGTAGTGCTGTTCATATATGTCAAGCCTTTCATCCCTGAAATCATTTATAAACTTCCTCTGGAACCCCTACAATATTCCAAAATTTGGAATATTGGTCTGAGCAGAGCCTTATACAGCCTCAGCAGTACATCTCTGCTCATGTATTCTAGCCCTCTTGAAATTAATGCTAACATTGCATTTGCCGCCTTAACTGCCGATTGAACTGCATGTTAGCCTTAAGAGAATGAACTAGGACTCCCATTTCTGATGAAGGATCTAGGCCCGAAACGTCAGCTTTCCTGCTCCTATGATGCTGCTTGGCCTGCTGTGTTCATCCAGCTCTACACCTTGTTATCTCTAGGACTCCCAAGTCCCTTTGTGCTTCAGATTTCCGAAGCCTTTCCCTGTTTACAAAATAGTCTATGACCTCTTCTTTCTACCAAAGTGCATAACCTCACTTCCACATTGCATTCCATCTGCTACTTCTTTGTCCACTCTCCTAGCCAGTCCAATTCCTTCTGCAATCTTCCCCTTTCCTCAACACTGCCTATCCCTTCATCTGTCTTTGTTGCTAAATTTGTAAATGATGCCCTCAATTCTTTCACATCCACAGGGGTTGCTAGGTGCTGAGGCAGACTATTTAAAAGCCCTGTCTCAGTACTGCCGAATAGTTAAAAAGAAAATTCCTTACAGCTCTGATACCTCTCATAGCCTCAATCCACCATGTCACCTCATGCCCTCCATGTCAAGGTATTTCCCAATGATCTATCATGCTACTTCTCCTACCCTCAATACATCTACCGTGCCTCCCCATGCCAAGATATGACATTTCCATGCCCATTTGCCCACTATACACTGTATGGAAGCAATGAACCCTGAAGTGACATTCAGACAGGTTTTAATAAGAAACCTTAACAAAATGAATAATTCATAACTTTCCATTATGTTTTATTTTACAAAACAACATTGAATCCACTGCAGCCCAGTAGAAAGTGTCACAGACCCTTTAAGTTTCAATAGTCTGAGCTGCCAGTCAAACAGGGACACACATTTCAACAGAGTAATAGATACCTGGGTTCTTAGCCAAGTTTGGCTGGGCATGGGAGGATTAGAGAAGCAGCTCCTCACCTTTTCCCTCCATCGTATTTAAACCAAGAAGTACAAAGAGCAGTACAGAACAGGAATAGGCCCTTCAGCCCACTAAGCCTCTGCTGAAACATGATGCCTTTCTAAACTAAAAACATTTTGCTTTAACGCAGTCTGTATCTCTCTATTCCCTGCCTATTCATGTATCTTAAACATTGCTATTGTATCTGTTTCCACAACTTCCTCTGGCAGCGCATTCTAGGCACTTACCACCCTCTGTGTAAAACAAAAAGTTGCCTCATATCTCCTTTAAACTTTTACCTTTTAATCCTTTTACCTTTTAAACCTATGCCCTCTAGTAATTGACATTTCTACCCTCGGAAAGAGACTCTGACCCTCCACTTTATCCATGCCTTTCATAATCTTGTAAACTTCTAACAGGTCATTCTTCAGTCTTCAGTGTTCAAGTGAAAACAGATTAGGGTTGTCCAATCTCTCCTCGTCGCCAAAATCCTCCAAACCAGGTGACATCCTGGTAAACCTTTTCTGTACCCTCTCCAAAGCCCCCACATCCTTTTGGTGTGTGGTGATCAGAATTGTACACAATATTCCAAAGGTGATCTAAGTAAAATTCTATATAGCTGCAACATGACTTGCCAGTTTTTATACTCCATGCCTTGCCCAATGAAGGCGACCACCTCCTTGACCACCTTACCTACTTGTGTTGCTGCTTTAAGGGAACTGTGGACCTGTACAGTTAGATCCCTCTGTATGTTAATGTTTCTAAAGATTCTGCCACTTAGTGTATACTTGCCTCCTCCACTAGACCTTGCAAAATGTATCACCTCATATTTGTCCAGATTAAATTCCATCTGCCATTTCTACACCCAAGGCTCCAGCATATCTGTATCCTGCTCTATCCTCTGGCAATCTGCCTCACTTTCTTCAGGTGCCTCTGTTTTTGTGTCACCTACAAACTTATTAATCAGACCACTTACATTCTCCTCCGTATCACTTTTTATATAAATGTTTTACAAACATCAAGGATACCAGCACTGATCCCTGCAGAACACCAATGGTCACAGATCTCCAGAAAAATTCCTTTTCACCACTATGCTCTGTCTTCTATGACCGAACCAGTTCTGTATCCATCTTAACATCAGAGGAGCAGGAAAGCTAACGTTCCGGGTCGGGACCCTTCAGGAGTAGGGGAAGGGGAAGGGGGCTCTGAAATAAATAGAGAGGAGGGGTGGAGCTGGGGAAGGTAGGTGGAATGGTGATAGGTGAGTGCAGGTAGGTAGTGGTGGGGATTGGTCAGTGAGGTGGGAGAAGCGGATAGGTGGGAAAGAAGACGGACAGGTCAAGGAGGTGGGGATAAGAGGGGCTGGGGAAAGTAGGTAGGATGGCGATAGGTGAGTGCAGGTAGGCAGTGCCGCTCCTCCCATCTCTCTGACCAATCCCCACCACTACCTACCTGCACTCACCTATCACCATCCCATCTACCTTCCCCAGCCTGACCCACTTCCCCTCCCCCATTTCTGAAGAAGGGTTCCGACCTGAAACGTCAGCTTTCCTGTTCCTCTGATGCTGCCTGGCCTGCTGTGTTCCTCCAGCTCCACACTGTTATCTCAGACTCCAGCATCTGCGGTTCTTACTATCTCTGTATCCATCTTACTAGCTCAGTGCGGATCCCGTGTGGCTTCACCTTCCTTCTGTATCAGCCTGTCATGAGGGAGTTTGTCAAACGCCTTGCTAAAGTCTGTAAAGACAACATCCACTGCCTGCCCTCACCAATCATCCTTGTCACCGCCTGAAAAAATTCAGTCAAGTTTGTGAGACATGACTTCCCCAGCGCAAAGCCATGCTGCTCATTGCTAAAAGTTAATATTTTCCAAATGTAAGTAAATCCTGTCCCTAAGAATTTTCTCCAATAAGTTGCCTACCACTGACATAAACTTTATCAGTCTGTAACATCTCGAATTATCCCTGTTGCCCTTCTTAAAGAAAGCAACAGCATTGGCTATTGTCCACTCCTCTGAGACCTATCCTCTGACTAAAGAGGATACAGAGATTTCACACAAGGCCCCAGTAATTTCCTCCCTGGTCTTCCTCAGCATTCTGGGATAGATCCCATCAGGCCCTAGTGACCTGTCTCCCTTCATGCTTTTCAAAGCACCCAACACCTTTTATTATATTGACATGCCCAAGAATATCAACATACCGCTCTCTGGACTCACCACCCACTATGTCCTTCTCCTTTATGAATTCCGATGAAGAGTATTCATTAAGGATCTCTCCTATTTCTTCCGGCTCCATGTGTAAATTCCCTCCTTTGTCCTTGAGTGGACCTACCCTTTCCCTAGCTACCTCTTGCTCCTTATATACATATAAGATGAGTTGGGATTTTCCTGAATCCTGTTTGCTAAAGAGATTTCATGGCTCCTATCAGCTCCCCTCCCCACAAAACTCCTTGTTTATGTTCTTTCCTGATCTCTCTATATTCTTTGAGGGCTCTGCCTGCTTCCAGTTTCCTAAACCTTATGAAAACCAAAAGAACTGCGGATGCTGTAAATCAGGAACAAAAACAGAAGTTGCTCGAAAAGCTCTGCAGGTCTGGTGGGCATATGTAAAGAGAAACCAGAGTTAACATTTCAGGTCCAGTGACTCTTCTTCAGAACTGAAGACCCATTCTGATTTCCAGCATCTTTTAGTTTTTTTTATTTGGTCCTGTTCGTAGAATTACTTGTGCAGGCACATACCTTATAGTTATATTTTTGCCATACATCATGTTTGTTCTTTTGTTTTCATTCTCAAGATTGTGCAAATTATTTGTACCCCCCGCCCCAACAGTTTCAATCCCAGTGAAGAAGTATGTGCATGTTCCTTTATCAGCCTGTAGTGAGGCAAATTACCCATTTCGAGAATAAAATTCAAAACTTGCATTCTGCCTCTCCCATACAGTCTGTTTAAGCTACGGATGTTAATTTCCATCTTATTTGGAAGAAATATTTGGGGCCTTGCATAGTAAGAAGAAAGAGAGAAAGTAAAAGAGTATCCCCTTCACTTACACAGCATGGTACCATGGGAATGCAAGAGGATATTTGGAATGATTGAGAAGTGGATCAGAGTGGCACAGAGTGAAAGGTTGCTTTAGTATGCTGAAAGGAGAAGAGAGAGGTAGACATGTTTGCTGATGACATCATGCTGAGGACGACAGAAATGACTGAGGATGCTCTATTGAATATCGAGCCTGTTGGAGTGGAAGGTATGTTCAAGGAAAACCCAATCATGCTTTTGGAAATGAGGTAAATGGGTGAGAGTTGAGAACAGAAAATAAGTTAGACACAGCCAAGTTCCATGTCCAGCACTGGAATTTGTTGAGTGGAGGTGTGGAAAAAGAGGAGTGCTGTCCTCTGTTGAGGAATGTTGCAGAATATCAGCTTTATGGAAGTTTGCATCATCAGAACAGGTGTGAAAGAGAAACTGGGAGAAGGAATGGAGTCCTTACAGGTGCAAGATGTAAGGAAATGTAGTAGAGATAGCTGTGGATATCAGGGGACATAGAATGAATTCTTTTATAACATATTCCCAGAAATGGAAACCGAGGTCGAGGAAGGGAAGAGAAAGGAGAGAGAGTGAAGGTGGTAGAGGGTGAAAATTGAAAACTAAATGTGTGAAATTTTCCACTTCAAGTGGAGGGCAACCATACTAAGCCATCAGTTTACTGGAAAGAGAGATGAGGGAGGGAATCAGAGTAGGACTGGAATGAGGAATATTCTACGTATTGTATAAAAATGCAGGCATTGTTAGGACCTATGCAGGCGCCAATAGCTATGCCTTTTACATAGTGGAAATAAGTGAAGTGGAAGGTGAAGATGCTCAATGTGAGAACAAGCGCACTCAACTGGAGGAGAGTTGTGGTGGCGGACAGAGACTGTTTGGATCTCTGTTATTTGTTGCCAGTTTTGATTTTCTGTGCTGTTATGTGCAGAGATAAATAGCAATCATTGTTGAAATTATATAAGGGATATTTTAAAACTTTTTTATTCTATTTCAATATCAAAATAAATACTGGAATAATTGATGCTACAATTTGTTTCTTCCTGAATGAACTTTCACCATTTGCCATTTACTTCAAACTTTACAACAATTTTACCTTTTCAAACTCTGCAGGTGGTAAATAAAGGTACCCCAAATCAAACCACAGACCGAAGTTACTGGGATACATTAAGACGTAACACCAGCCAAGCACTCTTTTCAGACCTTGCAGAGGTATAAAATCTGTGTGAAATCACAAAACTTAAAGGTTTTAATTGTTTACTTGTTCCAGGTCCGTTGTACTTAGAATATGGTTATACTGTCACTTCTGTGTTTTGCAACGTACAAATGGCAGTACAACTATTAAGTTAGGTCCAAGACTTGAAGACTATGTAGTCCAGCAATCAAAAGCGGGAACTAATAATCCTGAGAATGAAATCCCATAATGGCAGTTTGAACATTTGATTTTTGTTTTCAAATCAAATAGGTATAAAATAAAAGGCAAATCTAAACAACTGCCTAGGTGCTGCATATATGTCGCATTATACAGCAAAGTCAAAATTCCTTGAGAAGAATGCAAAGTATGAGCTGAAGTTTTGATGAGTTTTGTGGAGGCTTACCTCTGAGGCTGAGTAGGTGTTTTCATGTGATTATCTGAAGCTCAGTTCGTTAGCTTGGTAGCATGCCGCTATATCGCCCTTCTCATCTGATGCTAGCCCATAGTACTCATTGCTGCCAGAATATCCTGGGATCCCTTGTGCCGGTGCTGTACTTAAAATACAATTGTGTACCTGCAGCTGGCTGAGGAGTAAACCCCGTAGGTCACTTGCATTCAGAGGTCAGCCAAAATCCAGGCACCTGCCCAGCCCCGGACAGGAGAGAGCTCCATGTTATTGGCAATTTATGACTTCATTGACATGTTCAAGCCGACACAGGAGGAGCAGGCAAGTTTTTTGGGAACACTGGCAATCCTGACACACAGGTTGCAGAATTGCAGCAATGTACTGGGGTCCTGTTGCCTCAGGCGCAAGTGTTTTGTTGCGTCTGTCGACAGGTTAGCTGCTGTCACAGACAGACAGGTCCAGGACTCAGAGTCTGCTGGTTATATGCACTCCACCCAAGCCATCTGCATTAACAGCAAGGTAACAAGGGGACAAAGAACATTGGCCTCACTCCAGCTCTGTCTTCCTCAGAAGGAAAGAAGACAGTGCCAATAGGCAATCAGGCAAAGCAGGAACCTTAAACAGACCTTCCAGAAGTCTCAGGACACTCCAGAGCTGGCCAGGCCTTCCACCTCCATGTCTGCCACTCTCAACTTCAGGAGTCCAGGCCAAGGAGGATGCACCAGCTTCTGGCAGGACACAGTTCAGATGTCTGGGTCCTCTAGCCACAAATAACCTTTGGCATCGCCAACCAAAATCCAAAATTTCGTGGACTCCACCAAAGGGCTCCCTCCACTCCAGCAGTTGAACTTGAGACAGTACTGTGATATGGGGAAAGAAATAAGACAAAATTTCTGAGCACGTGGTGGTGGCACCAGTGGCTCATCACTAAACGCATTATTGCATTTGTAAATATGTTTACTTTTTTTCAGCTGTGTGCATGAATGTCCATTTAGCCACAGCTATAACATTGATGCTGTAGTTCTACACAACATTTGGTGGAGCATGGTGCCAGATGTGGGAGATCGGGGAGAATTTGAATGTTCCTGGAGACTATGTCTACAGGAAATGCGTTTGTTTGCGAATTCTGTCAGACCACATGGATTGGTTGAAGCAGCAGTTACAGGCAGTGAGGAGTTTATAAGAACACGGGTGCGATGTATGGCAGTTTCAGGAATGTAGAAAAACCGCAGAGACTGATAGGTAGATGTTGACTGCTAGGAATGGTAGGAGAGGTAGCCAGGTAGTGCAGGAGTCTCCTGTGGCTGTCCCCATCTCAAGCAGGCATTGCTGTTTTGGATACTGTAGGGGAGGATGGCCTCTCAGAGGAGGATAGCACTGGCAGCCAGGTTCCTGATACTGTGACTGACTCTATTGTAACGAGGGGTATGTCAGGTTCCAAGTGATCAATTGTAACAGGGGACTGTAGTCTGGGGCACAGACAGATGTTTCTGCAGCTGCCAGTGAGACTTCAGGTTGGTGTGTTGTCTCCCTGGTGCCAGAGTCAAGGATGCCTCAGAGAGGGTGCAGAATATTCTGGAAGGGGAGAGTGACCAGCAGGAGGTCATTGTGCAAGTTAATATCAATGACATTGAAAGGGAAAGGGATGAGGCTCTTTCGAGAGAGTAGAGGAAACTAGGCAGGAGGTTAAAAAGTAGGTCCTTGAGGGTAGAAATATCTGGTCTAGAACTGGTGCAGGGTGCAAGGATTACAATTTTGGACCATTGGGATCTCTTCAGGGTTAGAAATGACCTGTATAAGAGGGACAGATTCCTCCTGATTTGGGAGGGGACCAATATCATAGCGGGGAGATTTGTTATTGATAGTTGGCAGGCTTTAAACTCGTGCAGGGGTGAGGGAAACTAAAGCAGTAGTGAGAAAAGTGAAAAGGCTGAGGCTGGTACAGTAGATAAGGGGAGCAAGTCTAATAGTCAAGGCAGACAAGAGCTTGGCAGAGGTAAAACTATAAATTAAACTGCATTTACTTCAATGCAAGAGACCTGACAGCTAAGACTTAAGATATGGTTGGGAAAAAGGAACTGGGATATCATAGCTATTACAAGAAGGTGGCTCAGGGATGGACAGGGCTGGCAGCTCAATGTTCTGAGGTATAGATGCTGTAGGAAGGATAGAAAGAGGGGCAAGAGAGGAGGGTAGCTAGCATTTTTTGTTTAGGAATAACATTATGGCTGTACTTAGGGAAGATATTCCTTGGAGATCGTTCAGTAAAGTTATTTAAGTGGGCCTGAGAAATAAGAAAGGGAAGATCACAGTTTTTTCGATTATGGTGCTCGCATTTGTGTTTCCGCTTTATTGAATGGATATTGTGTAATGCTGTTGCCATTTTAAGGGCCTCAAATTGTTTGAAATTCAAGCCCCTCCCTCAAAACAAAACACTTACCGCTCCATCCCCAGGTGTGGTCACAGCAATTTTTATCTCCATTGATATTTGATATTTTGCTATTTTGTTATTGATATTTTCCACATGATGTAAGGAAACAGTGATCATTCCTTCAACAGAAAGTTTTTGGCTTGGCTGGTGAACTCCCAAATGTACACATTCTTTCTTGGTAGCCCTCCCCAACAACCCCATAGGTTTTGAACTTGCTGAGTCCCACACCCAACCCCTCTATCTAAAACAAAAACAAAGTTGCTTTAAAAACTCAGCAGGTCTGGCAGCATCTGTGAAGGAGAAAACAGAGTTAACGTTTCAGGTCCGGTGACCCTTCCTCAGAACTGATGGTGGCTGGGAAAACGTCAGTTTATATGCAGAAAATAGGGAGGTGGGTGAGGTAGGAAGTGAACAATAGGATAGAGCCCAAAGAGAGAGAAAGACAGTTGGATAGACAAAGGAGTTACTAACGATCAGGCTGGGAGGGTGAGTAGTTGTTAATGGGGACTGTTAGTGACTAACAACAGGGGGTGTGTAATGGCAGGCTATGTGGTAAATGGGCCTGGTGTGTGGGGTGGGGGCTGGGACATAGGAGAGTTTAGGCCCTAAAATTATTGAACTCAATATTGAGTCTGGAGGGCTGTAGGGTCCCCAAGCGGAAAATGAGGTGTTCTTCCTCCAGCTTGCGTTGGGCTTCACTGGAACACTGTAGCAAGCCAGAGACACAGATGTTGGCCAGGGAGCAAGGTGGTGCATTGAAGTGGCAGGCAACAGGCAGTTCAGGGTCTTTTTTGCGAGCAGAACCTAGATGTTTTGCAAAGCGGTCGCCAAGTCTACGCTTCGTTTCCCCAGTGTAGAGGAGACCACATTGTGAGCAGTGAATGCAGTAGACTAGATTCTCAGAAGTGCAGGTGAAGTGTTGCTTCACCTGAAAGGTATGTTTGGGCCCTTGGATTCTGGGGAGGGAGGATGTAAATGCGCAGGTGTTGCACCTTCGCTGGTTACAGGGCAAGGTGCCGTAGGGCTGTGGGGGAGGTGTTGGGGGTGATGGAAGTGTGGACCAGGGTGTCCCGGAGGGAATGGTCCCTGCGGAAGGCGGACAGGGGAGGGGAGGGAAATTTGTGTCTGGAGGTGGCGGAAATGGCGTCTGATGATCTTCTGGATGTGAATGCTGGTGGGATGGTAGGCGAGGATAAGGGGAACCCTATCGCTGTTGCGGAAGCGAAGAGAAAGGGCTGAGGGCAGAAGTGCGGGAGATGGGTCGGACCTGGTTGAGAGCCCTGTCGACAACGGAGCTGGGGAATCCTCGGTTGAGGAAGAAGGTGGACATTTCGGAGGCTCCCTTGTCGAAGTTGGCCTCATCTGAACATATGCGACAGAGATGGAGGAACTGAGAGAATGGGATGGAGTCTTTACAGGAAGTGGGGTGTGAGGATGTATAGTCCACGTAGCTGTGGGAGTCACTGGGTTTGTAATGGATGTTAGTGGCCAGTCTATCCCCAGAAATGGAAACCGAAATGTCGAGGAAGGGAAGGGACAAATCAGAGATAGACCAGGTGAAAGTGAGAGCAGGGTGGAAATTGGAGGCGAAATTGATGAAGTTTTCCAATTCCAGACGAGAGAGGGAAGCAGCACCGATGATATCAACGATGCGTCGGAGAAAGAGTTGTGGGTGGGGGCCGGAATAGGACTGGAACAAGGAATGTTCCATGTACCCCACGAAGAGACAGGCATAACTAGGGCCCATGCGGGTACCCAAGGCAACCCCTCTTACCTGAAGAAAATGAGAGGAGTTGAAAGAGAAGTTGTTGAGGGTGAGGACAAGCTCGGCCAAGCGGAGGAGCGTGGTGGTGGGTGGGGATGGTTCAGATCTTTGCTCCAGGAAGAAGCAGAGAGCCCTAAGACCCTCCTGGTGGGGAGTGGAAGTGTAAAGGGATTGCACCTCCATGGTAAAGAGGAGGTGGCTGGAGCCGGTAAACTGGGAGCTTTGAAACCGGCGTAAGGTGTCAGATGAATCATGGATGTATGTGGGTAGGGATTGGACCAGCGGGGAGAAGACTGAGTCAAAGTAGGAAGAGATGAGTTCTGTGGGACATGAGCAGGCTGAAACAATGGGTCTGCCTGGACAGTCTTGTTTGTGGATTTTTGGCAGGAGGTAGAAACGAGCTGTGCAGGGTTGG